TGAACTAACACAGCATTTTTTTCCTAGTTTTTCTACATAATTTTGGTTTCTCATCAAGCCAGAGTTTCATCGAACATCCACAAGATGATTTCCAAATCAAAGGTGGCACAGTAACGTTCAGTTGCCAAGCAACAGGTTTAGTTAACCCAACCTATTATTGGCTGAAAGATGGTAGTAATGTGACTCGGGGTAACTCTTATGTTAATAGCAAGGCATACCTAACTATAACCAGAGTGACCTTTGATGATGCTGGGCTTTATTCCTGCCGTGCCAGTAGTAATACAGTTATTATCACGAGTAATCAAGCAAGACTCACTGTGGAAGGTTAGTCTTTGAGATATATTTGCAATTCCAAGATTGCAGTGCATTGTGGGACTGTTTAACAGAACAAAATATATGCCATCTTGGAAAAATATCCCCTCGACAATGCCCACAATGCACTGCAGTGCACTCGACCAAGTTTTTTACTCAACCTCGGGATGGCAAATATATAGAGAGAGTGATTGTGTGGTTCCAGAAAATAAACTTAGCCCACCATGGAGGAAATCAGTGATTCCCAGGGATTGGGGGTCAGAGGAAAAACCAGAATTAACTTTTTTATGGGTTAAGTTAAACCAAAGATTTACTAACGCCTCTATTTAGTCTTCTAACTATTTCACACATATATAACCATTCTATTTTATATAATTACTTATATATTATGTTTGAAGTTTGTTGGTTCAGAGGCTCTAACTCTTGTGCTGTTGGGTATAAAAAATAATGAAATAGGATTTAACAGTTGCATTTACACAGAGTAGCTCTTCATCCACTGAAATTCCAATTGGAATTTAGTAGTTGATTTTTGTGGAGGGAGGGAAGCCGGAGAACCAGAGAGAGAGTCAACAAACCTGTGGCCCTCATTCCATGATCAAATTGGAATTTAGGAGTTGATTTTTATGGAGGGAGGAAAACTGGAGAACCCAGAAAACCCTCGAAGCACAGGAGAGAACCAACAAACAACTCTACTCATATACAGTACAACACCGAACCTGGCGGGACTCAATACTCTGATTGCATTGATGAGAGGCTAGCGCTCACACCGCTATACCACCCATGCTTCCCTAACACTGAGCCAGGTGGGACTCAAAACTGGGTTGCATTGATAAGAGACAAGGGTAGTCCCTGGGTATTATTTTGAAATGCTATACTACTAAGCTCAATCAACAGATTATTTAATAAAGTTTAGTAATATAGTTTGTTTTGATTAAAGGATCTCCAGAAGTAGTTCAACCACCTTCAGCTCAATCTCCACATGTTGGCCAAACGGCATCATTCACTTGCAAAGTTATTGGAAATCCTTTGCCAACTGTAGTATGGTACTACAAAGGTTCTGTACTATCAAACGGAGGAAGGATAAAGATATTTGATAATGGAACCTTGATAATCAGTAGTGTAATGAAGTCTGATGCAGGACAATACAAACTCGAAGCAAAAAATGACCTAGGTGTTACGTATGCTTCTGTGGAGTTGACTGTTCTGGGTAAGATAATACTTTTTACATATTTTGTATAGGAAATCTCACGGTCTCGAGTACAATTAGGAATTTATAGGTATGAGTGATGTTTAGAAAGCTCAATTTGAAAATTCTCAAAACATCACAATTATCTATAAATATCGAATTGTGTGAGAGGAGTGTATGATTTTTTGTTTATAATACACTCAACAAAATTGAGCAACTTAATTGGAACTCTACAAAGTACAATTTGGGATTTGATGCTATCATGGGAACAGCCTTTTTTAGTCTTGATAGTCATTCGTCTGAATGACCACGAAACAGTGGTTTGAAGTCGAGACTGAACTTGATTCTTTTATTTATCAAGTCCAACCTCGACTTGAAACCATTGTTTTGTGACCAGTCAAGTGAATTCAGGAAAGAATGCATAAAAACTATCAAATTTTTTACTGTTAGACAACCTCTGGGGTTCAATGGTGAATCCAGAACAATTTTAACAAAAGGGGATTTTTTTGGGGGGGGAGGATTTTTATTTGGCTCGAGGTGATGCCGTATGGACCGAGCGCAGCGAGCATTTTATCATTTGACGCTCACGAAAAGAAAAATAATAAAAGAAAAGAAAGAAAATACGGTCACAGGTTTCAAACAGGCGTACGGCCCTGCTTGCTCAAAGCAGTACAGCCCTGCTCACTCCATTTTCCAAAGGTTTTTTTAAGAGTGCGCGCCCAGGCAGATACGAGTCATATGATAATAATTATTATATAAACTTCATGGGGGATGATGTTGCCTAGAAATGCTTCACACAGCATCCTTTTAACCTTACACCTTTCCCTTCATTCTTAATTAATTTTTCAACTCCACCCCACGTTGTATTCTCTTTCTGTATCCCCCCGTATCTGCCCTTGGGGTTTGCCATAGTAAAGTGTGGAGAGACGAGAGCATCTTTTGAACCACTTGAATGCCTAAATCATATGCACAGAATGATATAATTACAAAGGCAGCACTTTCTCCTTGTATATTTTAATACCCTGAGTGTTGGTCATGCCAGGGATTAAACCCACAATCTCCCGTACAACAGACCGATGCTGAGAACGGCCGATGCTCAGACCGACCGATGCTCAGACTGACTGATGCTCAGACTGAGCGATGCCCAAACAACTTAGCCAACCGGGTGTCATAATTTCATTGATTTTTCATTTTGATTCTAACAATATTTCCCCCTCCAGATCCCCCCTCAGTTCCATACTTCACCACGATTCCTCAAAACAAGACAGCAAAAGAAAATGACGAGGTCACATTTTATTGCGAAGCATCTGGAAGTCCCAAACCGACACTAATATGGATTCGGTTAGATGGTGTTATACCAAGTGATAGAAGGGGTCAGCCACGCCCAGGGGCACTAAGATTGTTTGGACTTGTGCCGTCAGATGATGGGGTTTATGCTTGTGTGGCAAACAATACTCAGGGAGAGAGAAGGGCAGTTGTATACCTCAGGATTGAAGGTGACAGGTTTTTATATTTTTTTATTGGTTTCCCTTTTTACTTTCTTGTTTCCTTGCATTTTTGAAAGTGTTAAATTATTTTAGATAAAGGTGCTGAAACACAATCTTTTTTCTTCATTCCTTCCTCCTTTTTTTTTGTTTTGTTGTTGTTTTTGTTTTTGTTTTTTGTTTTTTTTTTCTTTCTTTCTCTTTTATTCATTGTTGATTTGCTTGTATGTTCAATTAAATATTTTCCATCCATTCCTTCATTTCCCTTTGTGCCGCCCCCCCCCTACCTTCCTTTCCATCCCTATGAATCTCTTCTTCTCTTTCCTTTTTTTCCTTTCCTTCCATCATTTGTGGTCATACCTCTACAATTACCACTTTAAGCAACCCTTTTATTATTATTTTTAATCCCTTCATTATTTTTGTTCACTTGTTTATCCATCCATTTATCCATCCATTCATTCATCCATTCATTTTTCTATTTCCCACCAGGTTTTCCAAGGTTCACAATCTCTCCCTTCAACAAAGTAGTCAAAGAAAACCAATCAGTAACCTTCAACTGCGCAGCCACAAGTGAACCTTCACCGACTATACAGTGGCTTCTACCCAATGGAACAACCATCACATCGCACTCAATGCCTTCTGGGAATGTTCGGGTCCTATCAAACAATACTCTAGTTATTGATAAAGTCGCTGAAGACCATGGAGGGATTTACAAATGTGTAACAACAAACTCTTTGGGCAGCAAGCAACACAAAGCTGTTTTGTCAGTGTTATGTATGTATATATGTATATATATATATATATATATATATATATATATATATATATTGTGTTATAATATAATATGATGATGTTGATGATGGTGGTGATGATGATAATGAGGAGGTTGATGATGGTGGTAATGATAATGAGGATGATGATGATAGTGGTGATGATG